TTGCTTGGTTTTGAACAATACATACCTGATTACCAGATCCAGCTACTCCAATGGGTTTCAACCTGTGGGTCCCCAGGTGTTTTGGCCTACAACTTCCAGAAATCCCAGCCAGTTTACCAGCTGTTAGGATTTCATAGAATCATAGAATCATAGAGTTGGAAGAGACGTCATAAGCCATCCAGTCCAACCCCCTGCCAAGAAGTAGGAATATTGCATTCAAAGCACCCCTAACAGATGGCCATCCAGCCTCTGTTTCAAAGCTTCCAAAGAATGAGCCTCCACTACACTCTGGGGCAGGAGCCCCCGGTGGCACAGGGGGTTAAACCCCTGTGCCGGCAGGACTGAAGACTGACAGGTCGCAGGTTCGAATCCGGGGAGAGGCGGATGAGCTCCCTCTATCAGCTCCAGCTCCTCATGTGGGGACATGAGAGAAGCCTCCCACAAGGATGATAAAAAAAACATCAAATCATCCAGGCGTCCCCTGGGCAACGTCCTTGCAGACGGCTAATTCTCTCACACCAGGAGTCACTCCTGACACGACAAAAAAAAACCCCAAAAAACTCCGGGGCAGAGAGTTCCACTGCTGAACGGCTCTCACAGTCAGGAAGTTTCTGGGAGTTGAAGGCCAAAACATCTGGGGAATCATGGGTTGAGAACCACTGGGCTATCCCCTCACCATATGAACAACTCTTGAGGCTGGTTGTAACCTTAGACAAATTATTGCTAGATGTATGTAGTCTGGGTTGAGCACCACTGAGCTACCCCCTCACCATATGAACAATCTTGAGGTTGGTTGTAACGCTTAGATAAATTATTGCTAGATTGATGTAGTCTGGGTGTTAGAGTTAACAAACTTTGTGTAGCTATACTCATCAATTGCTCCTTTTTTGTTGGCAGAACTTGTTTGTTTGCTTTTCTACACTCTTTCTTTCTTCTTGTACCACTCTAAACTGTAGCCATTTACTCTGTCCTCCCTCTTCAAAGCCATATATTTGATTATGCAGACGTATTGCAATTAAAGCTACTTCGTGTGCTTTTACAAGTAAGATCTGCTTATTTCTTTTCTCTGTCAGAACCTGTGTTTGTGGTTGTGGGTTTGGGTGTTGCCAATGGACTGTTCTCCTTGAGTGAACCAATGAAGTCCCTCACAATCCCAACTCTGGGGAGGGATGAACATCTGCTGCTTGAATTATGGAACTGAGAAAGAGCAGCCACCCTTCCATTGCTGCCACCTATATACATCCTAAAAGAGTCTCTTGATGTCAGGTTCACTTTCCCAAAATTTCTTTAATGACCTTATCAGATGACCCCTTGTAAAGTGGGGGATAGCAGATAAAATCATGGGGCAGCTTAGGGAACTGTGTGGAAGTCTGTCCCATCCCTTCCCATGATGTTTCCCACTATCCCCTGCTTTCTCTTCAGTTCCTCTGCCTTTTTTGTATAAGGAGTCTGAGCCAGAAGTAGCCCTGTATCATGTGATGGGTTTCGGGGGACTCCATGCTGGTAGCATGGAGAAGTGGGGGGGAAGACACTTCTTTGCCTTCATCTGATGAGGTTGTAGGTGGTGCAAACAGTTATGAAGGATGGTGATGGGTGGGGGAGAACAGACCAGAGGAATATTGGATTATGTTATTATTATTATTATTATTATTATTATTATTATTATTATTATTACACTTTATTTGTACCCCACTAGCATCTCCCGAAGGATTCGATGTGGCTTACACAGGCCGAGGCCTCAACACACAACATCATAATACAATCTAAGCAAATCAAACAATTAAAACAGATTAAAACAACACACCCATCCCTCCTATGGATGGACACATAGATGGAGGATTTATTCATTTCATTTGTATCCCACCTTTATTTATTTAGTTAGTTAATTATTAACTGCATTTCTATACTGCTTTTCTCACCCCTGGGGGGGACACTCAAAGTGGTTTACAACAAAATAAATGGCAAATTCATTGCCTCACATATATTATTATTATTATTATTATTATTATTATTATTATTATTATTATTATTTGTTTACAACATTTATATGCCACCCTTCTCACCCCGAAGGGGACTCGGAGTGGCTTACAAGATATATATACATACAATACATTATATTATTAGCATAGTACAATATCAGTATTATATATTGCTGTATTGTAGCATACCATTATATTGTAATATTATTAGTAATATTACATGTAATATAAAATATATAATTCTAATATCATATTATTAGAATTAGTATTATATTGTATTACATTATATTATAAATATTATATGTATATACATTATATTATATTATATTATATTATTAGCATAGCACAGGAAACAAGGTGGAACTGTCCCCTGCCCCCCCGTTCACTCTGTCCCAGAGCAGCAGTTGGTGCTGGGTGGAGGGGTCCCCAACTGATGACATATGCAGGAGACAAGATGGAATTATCCCCTGCCCCCCCCCATCTATCTAATCTTTATCTATTACATATCTAAATCAATAGCACATAAATGTAGATTAAAACCATTAAAACTATAAAAACATCAAACATAGACATAAACATGAAACATATTATTGTTGCAATTAACAATGTTAATTGTTAACCTCTTCTCTCCCCCCACCTCTCTTTTCATAGCATTTCAGCCCTTCATTTTTATATCCTCCCTTGCTCCCCCCCCCCCCCATCCCACAAGACACAATGTTCTTTAGGTACAGATTGAATACAGAATGAGGAGGGTAAAAATGTCCTGGGTATTTTTGGCGGATGGTAAATGTGATATGAGGTTCTTGAGGGGTGGGTGGGTGCGGGGAAGTCTTATCTGATGCTGGCAGTAGGCTACTGATCAGTTTGGTAAAAGTCCAGAGGAACATAGATTTTATCAGTTGTGGTATCATAAGACAGATGTGAGCTATCACTTGCCAATAGACTGAGGATGGTGTATGTGTGTGTGTGTGTGTGGGGGGGTGCCCCCGAGAAGAGTTGGTGTGTAGGCTGCACCTTCCACTTTGGAAGAGCTGAAGTCTCCTGCCCTCCTTTTCACCTCCTCCTTGCCGGCCCCATCAGGTGAGATTGCACAGCTGTGAGGGCCACAACCAGTATGTTTGAAGAGACTGGCCCCAGGCAGAAGTTCTAAAGTAGAGTTCTCACTCTCCGGCTGCCTCTGTTGTCCAGCAAAGCAGGCTCTGGTCCAGTGATGGCTTTTTATCTGCTACTGGCTTCAGGTAAAATAACCATTGAAGTAGGCAACAATATGACTAAAATAAATAATAATTAAAAAACAGCCAGTAGAGCTATTAAAATGACTTATCAGTAAAGACTCAAAATAGTGAGAAGCTGAGTTTGAAGAGCTGGTGGTTGTTTTTAAACCTTTTCCTAAAAGCCATAAGAATGTGAACTGGCTGCAGCTCTAAGAGGCATTTATCTAACTGTCTGGAAAGAGTAATCAATCTAGTAGCTATCAAGTGGCCCTTGACAGGCAGTGAAGTTCTTAAGAGGGATTTCTCTCTTATGGCCTTTTTACACGACACAGTTATAACATATAATACCTGATCATACTGATGAGCACCCTCCCTTGTCCCGTTTCACCGGCAATCACCTTCGAAACGGAAGGTTCATGTGGCACCTCACGGCAAGCCATGCACCCTCCTGTCACGTATCATGTTCTGCAGTTGATGATGGTTGGTGGTGGCAGGCCTAGCAGTTCATGATAGAAGGGTTAATGTAAGTCTTAGTTCTAAAGATTGAGTAATCTGTTAAGTAAGAGTTAATGGGTGAAAGCAATTAAGGGGCATTCAAGAGATTGTTTGCAGCTGGGTGTTTCTAGATATAAAGAGCTAGCCTTAGGATAGATCTTTGGGAGAAAAGTATTTGCTTTATTTTGGTGGTAGATGTTGCTGGTTTTCCCCCAGGTTTGTGGATTTTTGATATCCTGACCTGTATCCTGTACTCTTGGAACCCTGGAACCTTGAATCTTTGGACTGGCTTTTGACTACGGTATAGACTCTTGACCCCTGGATTTTGCTTATTGAACCCTCGGCATTTGACCACTGGACTTTTGACTATGCTGTTATCTTGAACCTGCAACAGTGTTTGCTGTCAGTTTTTGTTTTATATTCTGTGGCTGAGTGATATCTTTATGTTTTGGACTATTAAAACAGTCAGAAAGTAAATGCTGTTTTAATTAAATTGTTTAACACCAACTGGGTGTTTGTTTGGTTCATCTCTACCTGAATAAGGTAGAGTCCTGGCATCGTGACACCTCCCTCCCTCCCTTATCACATAAATAGAAGGTCAGCTGCTGTCCTCACCTTTTTGCCTTGGTTTTTACTCATGTTCTATTTTGAAATGATCATATGACTGATCAAATAAATAATAATAATAATTATTATTATTATTATTACATGAGGGCATTGGGGCAAGGCATGTTGGCACCCTGTTGCTTAACCCATCAGACAGGGGTAAGCGTTGCGGCATTGCTGTTTCCTCCATCAGATGGGGAAAGCCTAAAAACCATGGAGCCACCCAAAACACAGAAGACTCGCCATGGTGGCAAAGAAGCTTCTTACAATGCTTCCTCATCGCTTCAGCCATCAATGTGGTGGAGCCACGGCTTGTGTCATTTGATGGCATTCGTCAGGATCTGTGACCAAAGAGTGGCCAACTCCCACCCCCATGTGATGAGGTGGTAAGATTCCACTTTAAGTGCCATGGCAACATCCTATGAAATCTGAGATTTAGGGAAAGGTACTCACCTTTGAGTATCCCTAAGAAAATGCTATGGAATCTATGGGGTTACCATAAGTTGACAGGGGATTTGAAGATACATGCTCACACATTTAGAATTCTCAGGGAGCTCATCGAAGCTCATCAAAACTAGAGAGACTTCCCTCTTCCAATGCTGGCTCCTACACCGTTGTAGTGTATTTATTGCTCTGCTCATGAGATGAATGTGTTGGATGACTAATTAGTTAAAATGATGAAGTGTAAATTGTGCGTTCTTTCTAGGGATTGCTCTTATACTATGATCTTATTGAATCAACATTTGAGAAGACAAAGCTGCCAAGCCGAAGAGTTGATGCTTTAGATCATTTTCAAAAATGCTTTGCCATTTTAAAACTACACAAGGAAAGAGTGAACCAGGGGACTTCCTTTCCACCAGTGGCTTCTACTGTGGAAGAAATCAAAGATTGGAAAGCAATTCGGGTGGATCTGGTTGTAAGCCCTTTTGAACAACATGCATTTGCTCTCTTGGGATGGACAGGATCCAGGGTAAGTCATCTCAATTTGTTCTTTTTGGAAAAGCAAACTTAATTTTGATATTGCAACAGAGTGCACAATTTCATATATCTGAAGAAGCATCTTTTTCTTTCTTTATTGAATATTTTCTAATATAATAAAAGATCAGAAACAAAGAAAAGGAAGGGAAAATAAATAAAGAGAAAACAAGAATAACAAAGAACAGTAAGAAAGGAATTTACTTTTGATTTCCAATTTTCCTAACTAAGATTATACATGACTATACAAAGTAGCTTATCTGATTATAATTGCCATCCATATACTTCTTCAGCTTTACCAAATTAGCTAATAATTATCACAGTCAGGCTCTTTCCCATGCAGCCACCGAGGAGCAGCCATGACATAGCCGAAGGTATTGGTGATTGATGATTGTGACCACTTGCTTGGTCGCTTGGCGGCCATTGTGGCTAAACAAGTCCTATTAGGGCACAAGGTTATGGTTGTCCGTTGTGAAGGTATTAACATATATGGCAACTTTTACCGCAACAAATTGAAATACCTTGCTTTTCTGTGCAAGTGTATGAACACCAACCCCTCCCGTAGCCCTTACTACTTCTGTGCTCCCAGCCGAATCTTCTGGAGAACAGTGCATGGAATGCTCCCACACAAGACCAAACGTGGTCAGGCTGCCTTGGAGAGGCTGAAGGTTTTTGATGGCACTCCCCCTCCTTATGACAAGCACAAGAGGATGGTGGTCCCAGCAGCTCTGAAAGAGGTCTGTCTTAAGCCCACACACAAATTTACTTATTTGGGTTGCCTTGCCCATGAAGTTGGGTGGAAGTACCAGGCTATCACAGCCACCCTGGAGGAAAAGCACAAACAGAAGTCCAAGCTCCATTATGCAAAGAAAACACAACTGATGAAACTCTGGAAACAGGCAGAGAAAAAAGTGGAGCCCAAAATTGCAAAATACACAGACATTCTGAAGCAGTATGGCATCCTGGTTTAAATCAACTGCTATGCTTAGTTCACAATAAAGAAAAAATGCAGTTTTAAAAAATATCAACATCTGTAGTTAATATTTATTATTTTTCTTTGCAAATGGCCAATTCAGATTCACAGTCTTTCCAAAATGTCATTACTGATTTTTTTTCTAATCAAAGTTGTTAATTTATCCATTTTGGCTAAAGCTCTAGAATACTAAAGTTACCCAATATGCTTGGCAGAGGTTTGAACCCATATCTTCCCAGTTTCAGTCTTATATGCCAGAAATGACAAATGCACTGGGTGCAGGACCTTTTTTATTATTATCCCTACTCGCCATTTGAGCCATTAAGCCATTTCAGCAAATTGGAATAATACTGATGCTGATGTTGTTATCGATCATTTACCATTTCTATCCTGCCTTTTCCATAGCTGCTTAACAATAGTGAAAACAAACATAGCTAAAAAGTTGAAAATGTAATTCCACTATCAGAAAAAATAGAAAATGATGGGATTCACAGGTCAATCACCTTTAAAGAGCTGCAGATTTTCCATTGATGCTTTAAGCTGTTACCATCCAGCACTTTGCTAATTTCTGTACTTGCTGAAAAAGTGCAAACACCTAAGCTTTTTTGACTCAGACAAATTGTGCACGTCACAAGCAAATGGAGTCCAGTATGTGTTTAAATTAAACCATCTCTTCTTATAAAACTATAACAATCAGCAAGGCAGTTAGTATCAGACAAAGCTAATGTGATGTAGTATTGCATGTCAAAAAACAGTCCCCCTGGGTGAGCATCCATTATGGAAGTCGCATGAACTGCAGGCTACATTCATTTTTGAGAAGAAGGTAATGTATGATTGCAATTTCATATTTCTTAATGTTATCTGTACAGCAATACGGACCTGACAGACAGCCTTGTAAATGGTGACTCTGCCTTAATGCCAGTTTTAAAGGATCAGTCTTCCTCCAGTGTTTTAAAGGCACGGAAATTGGGGCAAACCTGTTGCATGCACTAATTTCAAGTTCAAGAAGACTGTTTCAGTACTAGTCTTCAATAAGTTGAATGCTATGAATATTACACACACACACACACCCCACTGAAAACAGAATTACTTGTTAAAGAATATAATTTTTTTAGTGAATTCAGATATTCACTTTGCTTTGTGATTGTAACTTAGAGACTTTTATGTGTGTGCAGCAATTTGAACGGGATCTGCGGAGATATGCCACCCATGAAAAGAAAATGATGTTGGATAACCATGCTTTGTACGATAAAACGAAGGTATTGTCCTTGGGTATTGTTATCAAACTTCCTTTCTATTGAGAGCTATCTGTTTTGGCTTCAGTTTGTCACTCATATCACACAATAACATCAAATCCTTTCAGCAGAACACAATTCTCAAAACCTCTCACAATTGCAAATAGACCTCTTATTGCTCAGTTAATTGAAGGTCACTTAGCAATTACCTTGAAATATTTCATATTATTTCTCAGCAGTGTACAAAAAGTATACAACGTAAACTGTAATTTTAAATTATATTTGCAGACACAGTGAGCATATCTTGCTTGCTTAGACAAAGGATATCTCATTTTCCTTACCTACTTCTGGAATACAGATGGTAAATGCATTCCAGATATTTTTACTTACTTAGCTAATAAGGGCAACCGTGAGGAATGATAGGGCAACTATTCTTTTAGGCCCCATCTATACTGCCATATATTGCAGTTTGAAAGTGCATTATATTTTCAGTGTAGACTCATATAATGCAGTTTAACTGAAGAGTGAAGAGTAGAGACATCACACTGGCAACAAAGATCCGCATAGTCAAAGCAATGGTATTCCCCGCAGTCACCTTCCATAAGGAAGCCTGAGCGAAAGAAGATAGACATTTTTGAATTGTGGTGTTGGAGGAATGTTCTGAGAGTGCCTTGGACCGCCAGAAGATCTAACCAGTCCATACTTCAGGAAATAAAGCCCGACTGCTCATTGGAGGGAAGGATATTAGAGGCAAAGATGAAGTCCTTTGGCCACATCATGAGAAGACAAGAAAGCTTTAGAGAAGATAATGATGTACATCAGGCCCGTAGCCAGGATTTTGTTTGGGGGGGGGGGAGGCTGAGTCTGAGTGAAAGAGGGTCTACCCTAGCAAACCTTTTATATCATTACCCCAATACCCCCCTGCATATGGGATATATTGAGCATGGTGATCAGATCATGATATGAATAAACATAACAGTTTAAATAATGTACCAGTAAGGCCTTCTCGCGGACCACTGTGAGAATTTGGGGGGGGGGCTGAAGCCCCCTAACCCCCCCCCCCCGGCTACATGCCTGATGTACATGTATCAAAGTAGACTCAGATTTCACTGTGCTTATATGGAGAAAGTTGGTAGGTGACCAGAAAGTACACACACTTATCCTTCAATCTTTGGAGATACAACTACAAAAGATAGCTAAGATGGTCTCCCATCCCACCTCCCAACACCTCAGTGAGTACAGCTGCCCTGGGCATCTGGCAGGTAGCAGCCTGCTTCTTCTTGCCTCTCACCCACCCTGCATGCATGTTTGGTTTTTTGATTTGGCTACCATTAGTTCTGTTATTGTTAGTTCGTCACAACTTCAGTTGGCATGCAGCATGGGCCCTGGATCTGGTATCCTTCACACACACATCCCCAGCAGAAGCGGGGACGTTTGGTGCTTAGTATTTTAGCCCAGTATTGTGCCAGTGGCATCTGGACATGTTTGGCGGTATTGGCCAGAACCCATGCCTGGCAGCCTGTTGTGACTCAGTGGAACCATAGACACAGACTGATAGTGTTGTGACTCACATGGGGTCTCAGAGTGACTCTGATAGGATTCAGGCTCACAATCAGGTTCAAAATGTTCCTGTTGTAGACAATGAGGAACAGGGTGTGCAAGTTCAGTTTCCCACAGCAGGGAATGATGTTTTTCATACTGAAACTAGCCAGGTGCAAATTGACTCAGAAAAGGAGGACAGTTCTCAGCCTGATGGTAGGCAGGAAGGTAACCAGGCTGACACTAATGTAGTTGTATCTCCAGAGATTGAAGGATAAGTGTGTGTACTTTCTGGTCACCTACCAACTTTCTCCAAATAAGCATAGTGAAATCTGAGTCTAATTTGATACATGTACAATTTATGACAAACATCTTAGGAGCTTAGGAGATCATTTCACATGCTGTCCTCCTTACTGCTATTATTATTATTATTATTATTATTATTATTATTATTATTATTATTATTATTATTTGAAACACAACAAGATGAGTCCACAGCAAACAAGATCACTCTGCCTGCTGTTGTATTGGATCACATATCGGACACTTCCCAAGTGTTTAGGTCTGTGTGATATATCGGCGAATAATGCATGCAGATCCCAGTAAGGTGGCCTTCTGCAGCTGGCAGATGGTAATTTTGCCAGCGCCAATTGTGTTTAAGTGTAGGCCAAGGTCTTTAGGCACTGCACCCAGTGTGTCAATAACCACTGGGACCACCTTTACTGGCTTGTGCTAGAGTCTTTGCAGTTTTATTATTATTATTATGTCTATTTATATCCCACTTTTTCTCTCCACAAGAAGACTCAAAGTCTTGCTTGCTATGACAGCATCTAAGGCCATTTTATCTCTGCTGTTACTACTACTGGTCAATAATTTCGCAGCCCTAGTGTCTTCTCCAGAGTAGCAAATACCTCAGAATGAAATGGTTCTCATAGTCACAGTCAAATTTTATAAAGCCAGCAACTGGAAATACCTTCATGTAAATTTTAAAAAACAACCAAAGCTTTGTCGTTGAAATAATTTGTTTGATTAACAGTTTTGAAACTGGCACTGATGCTTAAGAGGAAAAAAATATCCCATATTTCATCTTTCTGGTTTCTTTAATTTCCCAGAGGAATATACTAAACAAGCTTTATTGACCTTGAAAATAGAAGATTAGCTGACACCACCATAATTATGGAAGGCTCATCTAAAGAAATGGGGCGTAATCTCATGGCAATAATCCAAAAGATGAACTGGAGCCTTATGATGCTATTCTTTTTTCTTAATGAATGTTAGACTATCCCAAAACTGTATTTATTGATTACAAAAATCTCTAAATTGCCCATATTCCGGAGTACAGTAAAATTTGGAATATAATAGAGCACTTCTAAAATCAAATAACTGACTTGACATAATAACTTAATTTCAACCAGCTAGGTAGTAGTTAGTAATAAGGGAGCCAAGCTAACTTCAGTGGGAAGAAGTCCCAGAGACAGGATGTTGTTCAAAGGAAGTCCTCATTTTTTCAGGCGAATGCACATGAAACAATGCCTCAGATATGGAATGTAAGCTCTGGGCAGGTTCATATAGGAGGGCCAGGTTTCCCAGATATCCCGGTTCAAAGCTTTGTAAGTAAGAAACTTAATTTGAGGTTAGAAGCACATTATTTTGAAAGCACCCTCCTATGTCGGAATGATGCCAGCACAGGAGCTACAGCTTGGTTGTATCCTTGAACAGAAGTGCTCTTTCCTTCCCTTTCCCCCCTGGGTTTATGGAGCTGTAGTCCTAGGAAATAATGTTTTTGAGCTCTGAGTTGAGACTGTAAAGAATACAGTCTCACAGCAGGACCTCCCCGGAAGATTAAGATCTTCCAGGGAGGTCCTGCTCTTGGCCCCACAGCCTCATAGGTGTGGCTGATGCGGATGAGGGACAAGGCCTTCTTGGTGGTGGCCCCACGGCTGTGGAACTCCCTCCTGAGTGAAATCAGGTCAGCCCCCTCCCTCCTGACCTTTTAGAGACAACTAAAGACCTGGCTGTGGAACCAAGCGTTTAGGAATATTTAAAGTTAAAGCAAAAGTTGAAAGTGCAGTGACCCAGGACTGTTTACAACGGCTATGTCTTTGTGTGATATGTGATGTTATTTTATGTGATGTGTTTAATAATTATTACTGTTTTATCGGAGGGGTGTCAATTTCGATGTTTGAAAGCATCGAATTGTTGCGAACACTGTTAATCATCCTGAGTCCCCTTTGGGGCTGAGAAGGGTGGTATACCAATAATAATAATAATAATAATAATAATAATAATAATAATAATAATATAGAAATATTTCTCACTCACATATTCCCAGACACAGCATTAGAATATTTTTACTCCATAAACAATTTTGAGGAACATCTCTCTAGTCCGGATATCCATAACAGCCTTTAAACCACCTCATTGTAATGTGAAGTCACCCAGAAAAAAATAATGTGAATAATTAACATAGCTCTTTTCTTATAAGCTAGTAGCAGGGCTGCTCATGTATGACATGTGATAAATGCATTAAATTCCAGTAATGTTCCCGTAATGAATATTGTTTTAAAAAGCACCTCTTTTACAAGCTTGAGGCTATTTTAAAAACTTACTGAAGTAAAACAACAACATATTAGTCCTCCGTTCTGTAAAACCAAATATGACAAAGAGTAGATTAAGTTATTTCTATTGCTAAATTGTTAATAAAGAGAGGAAAATGTTAGAAAATTGATAGAAATGAGCGTCGCTATGTTATGTACATTCTCAATCCCGTTGTCTCTCCTCATTGAAAAATGCTGTTTTTTCATAATGTATGGTAAAGCCCGATGCTTTTTGAAAATGTGCAGAATTACAGCAGTTTGACACCATATTAATTGTCATGGCTCAATGCCGTGCAATTCTGGGATTTGTAATTTGGTGAGGTATGTATTGTTCTCTGTTAGAGAGCTCTGGTGCCACAACAAACTACAAATCCCAGGATTCTATAGAATGGAGCTGTGGCAGTTAAAGTGGTGTAAGTCTGCAATAATTCTGCAGCCCGGATTGTAAGTGAATGTAGCTATCGTATTCATCTCCCTAAAGTGCCTGACATAGTGTCATTCTGAACCATTTATTTATTTATCATGTCATCAGCAACCATACCATTGTATTACAATTCTAACAGAACAAAACAAACATTAAAAAGAAAAAGAAAAAAACACACAGATTTTGCAAACTTGGTAGTTGGTTAAATGTCCTTTGACCAGTATCTGGCCACTTGGAGTGCCTCTGGTGTTGCCGCAAGAAGGTCCTCTGTTATGCATGTGGCAGGGCTCAGGTTGCATTGCAGCAGGTGGTCAGTGGTTTGCTCTTCTCCGCACTCGCATGTCGTGGATTCAACTTTGTAGCCCCATTTCTTAAGATTGGCTCTGCATCTCGTGGTGCCAGAGCGCAGTCTGTTCAGTGCTTCCAAGTCGCCCAGTCTTCTGTGTGCCCAGGAGGGAGTCTCT